GTACACGTTTGATATCATCAAGTGTTGGAGACTGAGGGTTGTTCATCATGATTGTTCTCACAGTAATGAATATCTGCCCAAACTTCAATCGCATCATCTCAAACTCTAAAGTGACATTTACAGGAAGATAAATCTTCAGTCCTTCAATAAAATAAATGTTGTAAATGTAAAGTAAAAACATAAATAATAATTCTTACCATTCTCATCATCACTCTTATAAACACTTCCTATATAACAAGTAAACGTTATAACACCCCCGCTAGGGATACAAATGCAATGTATCCCGCAGCGGGGGTGTTATCAACATATTTATGTGATAATGAGTGGGTGTATCAAAGGCATGCGCCAATGACTTCACTCCTCGTGGTAGAAACACAAAGGTCAAGGTCGAGAAGGTCAACAAAATGGAAGCAGAGAAGGAGAATGCCAAGGAGATAGACCAGCTACAACTGATTCCAAAGCGTCGGAAGGTGTCCTTATCACTATCAAAGGATCGGTTTCACTTTCCTATTGAGGATAGTGACTTAAAAGAAGCTATGAAAGCCTATTCTACCAAAAATACGGCCGCTAATAACAAATGGGCTTTGGCTAATTATGAGCAGTGGTTTGAGCAGAGAAAGGAGATGCTTCCTGATTATGAATGTAAGCAGCCAATGGAAGTGCTTTTAAGCGATGACCCGAAAGAGATAGGCCATATTTTAAGCTTGTACGTAAAAGAAACGAGGAAGGTGGATGGTAATGAGTATACCCCCGAAGACTTTGTACCTGCTCTTGGCTAGATTATTACAGCGACATATGCATCTTCAGAAAGGGCGTGCATCAGCCATCACCATATTCAACGATCCTCGTTTAGAGGCTTTCCATAACGTGTGTGACCATGAATTTCACCGCCTTCACCAGAAGGATATAGGAGCAGAAACAAGACAAACAGAGACGCTATCAAAAGATGACGAAAATATTCTTTGGGATACTAAGGTACTGGACATAACTACCCCAGCTGGATTGTTAAATTGCGTCTTTTTCTACAACGGCAAAAACCTCTGTTTAAGGGGAGGAGATGAACATCGCCAACTGAAGTTTTCACAACTGCGTCGTGACATATCTATAGTCGTGATCTATTGTTTGTAGATGGAGTCCAAAAGATCTGCTACATTTACACTGAGCATGGTAGCAAAAATAGATCTGGTGGATTAGGGCAGTTACACATAGAAAACAAAGTCGTTCATCATTTTGAAGTCCCAGAAGCTGGAAGCAGAGATTACGTTAAGATCTTAGATTTGTATTTGTCTAAGTTGCCAAAGGAAGCAATTGCAAAAGATAATTTCTATGTCTGTCCAGTTTCTGTGTTACAAGAAGGGAAGCCATGGTTTACAAGCATTCCCATAGGAAGGAATAGCTGGCTACTATGGTCAAGACAATGTGTAGTAAAGCCGGTGTAGAAGGAAACAAGACTAATCATAGTCTATGGTCATTTGGAGTCACTTCGCTGTTTGAAGAAAACATACTGGAGAAGATTATTCAAGAGCGATCTGGCCATTGATCTATTACAGCTCTTCGTGTATATGAGAAAACAACAAATAAGCAAATGGTAGCAGCATCTCAAGTACTTTCATGTGTACAGGCACCTGAAACTCTACCAGAGTCTTCTAATTTGTCGTCAGCTCTAATGGAATCTAGTGTTTTGCTGGAAAAGACATCTGATCACCTGTTTCGTGGATGCTCCTTCACAAATTGTAACTTTACAGTTCAAAAGTGATGGATTATGGACTACTAAATGGACTACGGACTACTAAATGGACTATGGACTATTTCATGTGGACAAAGGAAAAACATAGATCTATTAATATCACTTATGATTTAGGTCATTTTTATTGAAATAGTATTTATAATAGTTTGTTTAAAAGATTTTGATAAGAATGTATAGTGTCAAAACCACAGGGATACAAATGAAACTACAGGGATACATCACATTTGTAGCACAAGCGGTGCCTTTGATACACCCACTCATTATTATACAATCATTAGTTACTGATATATATGTTATGTACTTACTGTAGTCTATAATAATAGCTCTTCCTATCTCAGCAGTGGTTGTGTCTTTACATACAATTACAGCAAATGCTACAAGTTTTCTATAATCTTTACAAACAGCTTCCTTAATTTCATCCAGTAGCCTTTCTCCTCGTCTATAATGTGTGAAGGTTATCTCTTGTACAAGTTCTGCCTGATACAAAGAAATATACAACAGAGGTAATGCAGACAGTAGAGATTGGTTTGAGGAGTAACGAGCAAGAATTCTACAAGCAGGATGCTCTAAACAATAAGTAAATTAAAAAAGATATTCAGTTTTATTAAACTCACTTTCCATATCTATTCCATCAGCTACTCCATTCTCTCCTATTCTCCTCAATGCTGATACCAATGAATAGATAGTGGGACCACCATTAGTCTTCTGTACATCGTCAGCTTTCTGTAACCATTTAGTAAGACACTCACGTAGACCACCCTCAATATCTCCTCTATAACTGATTGTAATATCATACAGTGTAACTTGTGATAGGCCAAGAAACAGGCCGAGATTATAGTAACTTTCTCCTGGATAATGGTAATTTCTGAGTAATTGAAATACTTCAGGAAGGTCATTAACTGTTAAATAACTTCAATTAATAAAAGAAACAAAAAATTAAATGTACTTGTCAGTTGATTTGGAGGGTCTACTGGTACAGAGCAAGAGAAAGAAGGAGCTCGAGAAGGAGTAAACTTAGAAGCCATTGTACTGGGGCTGACGATGCTCACGTGATTACAGCCGCACCCACTAGATAGCAATAATAGTTCCGATGCCATCCATTGCAGCACAGATCATACAGTATTGTGTTATATTATGAAATAAATTAAAAGGAACATCTAAAAATATATATAAAATACATTTTGCTTTCCATTGGTTGCTTAATTTTATACAACAATGTTCAGATACAAGATACTGTGATTACAGATGATATCAGTGTCAAAATATCAGCTATTTCTGCTAATGACTGGCCTGTCTTGACATCAAATTTCTTATCATATTCTGTTGAATGAATTATTGTGACTGATTTACAAGCTACAGCTATGTCACAGAAAATAGGCTCAGATCTTGAAAGAAGACTTTTAAGTTTGTCTTGTTGTTTCTTAAGTGCATTCAGTGCACACAATCCAAGATTAGTATCATCAGTAACAACTACTGGAACTCCTGATACTGGAAGACAGGGAACTATTAAAAATAATAAATAGAGTTCAATTGGCATAGTCTATAAATAATGATTTAGTTCTTAATGGCCTATTAATAGCAATATCTTTTGGTTTCTGGTGTACACCTTTAAATGGTACAGATAAGACAGATATAAGCATAATACCTGGCAAGATAGAGAAATTGTAGCACTAATGTCATCAAAACCAAGTATTTTATGTTCTTTAATCTTAATGTGGTGGTAACAATGAATCCAATAGCAGCAACAAGGACCAAACACTGGAACATATTCAACTATTCATCATTCAGTAGCTGATATCTAGTATAGTCTCTTATATGACCTTATTATGAGAAATGAATAACTATTCCAATCAGTATATATACCCCTTTTATTGGCAACTGTGACAATAGTCCATTGTCTGAATATGTGATAGAAACACGTACATGTCAATCTTATCGTACTGCAACATGTCTTGCCAGCTTTAGGCTAATTAATATTGGTGCCAATAGTGTGAATAGACTCTATAGAAGTGATACTAGTAATTAATACACTATCAAAACACTAGGTTTGGTATGAGTTACTGTGCAAGACTACAGCAAAATAATTATAAGGACACCAATATGTACACTATCTCTGTATCAGAAAATGTAACAATATTTAATATTTCAAATCTATTTTTCAAAAAAGGCTAAGACTATCTATAGCCCACATTTCAACAGTTCCGGGCCAAGATTAAAGACACCAATATCATTTTTCAGCATTGCTAGGCCAACTACCTCTGTATCAGAAAATGTATCATAGTAAGAATTGAAGACACTTTTCAAAAAATAAGGATAAATCTATTTGTAGCCACTGCATTTGTACATTTCAGTCAAACAAGTAGATCTACATTATTTAAAATTATTCCTAAGATTGTTTCCATCTCATTTCCATGCATAGTTGGAATTTATTTCTTCATACTAAGTCTCTTTTCATCTTATAGTACTTTGTACATGTACCTTTGTCTTAATTGACCAAGTAAAAACTGCATGTACTCTGTTACGCCATGCATGCATGCCTTTTTTAAATGTCCAGAGTATCAGCAGAAAATTAAGAGAATTTATATCTTATCGCTACATATAATAATAATTGGCTGAAATTAATATCAGTATGAATTATATTAGAGGTACATGTGTATCATTATTAATTATTGTTGTTTAGTTATTAAATCAGTTCTTCTTCCGTTTCAAAGCTTTCTTTATTTCAACTACAGCTTGCACTTCATGCAAGAAGCAGCACTGTAAAGCCTGAAAGACTTAATTCCTTCAAAACTGCAGCAGATCTGGGTCTATTATTAATAAGATACATCACCTAATAGTTTATTTTTACTACCAAAATTAATTATTATGTACCGTCGAGATATTGTAATCCTTGCAGTTTTCATCAGTATAACAAACCTCACCAGACACTCTAGTAGTAATGATGAATCCAATAGCAGCAACAAGGACTAAACACTGGAAAGTATTCATCATTCAGTAGCTGATATCTAGTATAGTCTCTTATATGACCTTTAGTATTATGATAAAACGAATAACTATTCCAGTCAGTATGCACCTCTTTATATAGATACTGGCTACTGATGATAATGGTCCATTGTTTGAATATTTACATGTGATAGAAACATGTACATGTCAATATTATCGTATTGCAACAAGTCTTGCCAGCTTTAGGCTAATTAATATTGGTGCCAATAGTGTGAATAGAGTCTATAGAAGTGACACTAGTAATTAATTCACTATAACTACAAACTGACACTTTACATCAAAACACCAAAGTATAGAAAGTTATAAATCATCAGAAATATGTCAGCAAGTACATAAAGTAAAATCTTAAATTTAAAAATTTTATTGAAATTGGAATTTTCTTGCATTATAATAGTACACTGTCTTGGACCAAAATTTCGCCAAAATTACCCGATTTGATTTCAATTTTAATGCTGTAGTGATGCTGCCATTAAAGCTATGGCTGACACAGTGA